GTGAGAGGGAGAATGTGTGTGTGTGAGAGGGAGAATGTGTGTGTGTGTGAGCGTGTGTATGTGCGTGAGCATGTGTATGCGCGTGAGCGTGTGTGTGTGTGGGTGAGAGAGAGAGAGGGGTCTGTTTGAGAGAGGGGTTCTGTGCCTGTGTGTTTATGTATGTGAGAGAGAGGAGTCTGTGTGTGTGTGAGAAGTGTGTGAGAGAACGAGCAAGAGAGAGAGGTATCTGTGTGTCAGTGAGAGGAGTCTGTGTGTTTGTGTGTGTACGCACGTGAGAGTAGAATCTGTGTATGTGAGAAAGAGAGATGTGTGCATTGTGTGTGTGAAAGAGCGTAGGCATGCATGTATATGTGTGTAGGTGTGAGAGAGAGACTGTGTGTATTCATGTGTGAGAGTGTGGGCATGTGTGTGTGAAAGGGGCAGAAACAGACAGAAATGGAAGGGATACAGATCAAGGAAAGCAGAGAGTGAGGGAGGGAGAGAAAGAGAGAGACAGAGACATAAGAGGGCTAACGAAAGAGAGAGAAGGAGGGACAGTCATGGAGGGAGAGGGAGAGAGAGAGACAGAGGGAAAGAAAAATAGAAAGGAGGATAGAGAGAGGGGGAGAAAGGGAGAGGGAGGCAGAGGAAGAGTAAGTGAGAGATGGAAAAGAGAGAGATAGGAGAACAAGACAGAAGGTAGAGAAGGAAGGAAAGTCTGAGAGGGAGGGACAGTATGCGAGAGACATGGAGAAGGGGTGGCTAGACAAAAAAAAAATAGAACAAAAGGGACAGGATGAGGGAAATAGAGTGAGAGGAAAAGGAAGGAAGAGAGAGGGGGTAGGGTAGAGAGAGCATAACAAAGAATGACAGTGAGAGGGAAAGAGAGGGAGGGAGAGAAAGAAAAAGATGAGAGAAAGAGAGACAGTGATAGGGTGTTTAGAGGGAGACAGAGAGAGAGATCCAGTGATAAAGAGTGTGATGGATAGGGAGAGACAGATAGAAGAAAGAAAGATGAAGAGAGAGAGGATGGATAAAGAGAGAATGAGTGTGGGAGCAAGAAAAAGAAGAGAGAGAGTTGGGAGACAGAGAGAAAATGGGAGGGGAGACTGAGATAGGGAGATGGGTCAGAAAGAGAGAGAGAGAGAAAGGGGGAGAGAAAAGTTCGAGGGACCTGTATTTAATTCCCATCATGTGCAGAGAGCAAAAATGGAATTCTATAAAAATATGGAATAAAAAGTGAAGGTAATTAATGCCGGGCCCAACCAACAATGCCCACATCCTGTGAATGAATTCATTTTTTAAAAAAGACACGCCGATTATTAATGAGATTGAGATTGAAGCATCCATTCGGCCCCTCAAGCCTGCTACACCATTCAACAGAATCATGGCTGATTCTCTATCTCAAAGCCATAAAGAAAGAGAAAACAATTCAGTGGTTTTACCTGTGAAAATTGCTCTGCCTAAAAGTTATGCTCTAAAATGCACCTATGTATTAATCCTACATCCCACTTTGTCTTCATTCCACTTGGTTCTTCTCAAAGCCAGACAATTATTTATCTCCTCAGATTTATTTTTGACCCACCCTCCACATCATTCTGTGGCTGAGAATTTTACAGGCCCACTCCCCTCTGGGAGAAGATATTTCTCCTCATCTCAGCCCTACTCCATCTCCTTTAGACTGCACCTCCCTGGTCCTAGACTCCTCTTAATCAGGGGGAAACATACTCTCTGCATCTAGTCTGTCCAGCACTGGTAGAATTTTCAATCTGATCCCCTCTTCTCAAAGAACAAAGAACAAAGGAAATTACAGTACAGGAACAGGCCCTTTGGCCCTGCAAGCCTGTACGGACATGCTGCCTGTCACAACTAAAACCCCCTACCCTTCAGGGGACCGTATCCCTCTATTCCCATCCTGTTCATGTATTTGTCAAGACGTCCTTTAAAAGTCACTATAGTATCTGCTTCCACTCCTTCCACCAGCAGAGAGTTCCAGGCACCCACCACCCTCTGTGTAAAAAAACTTGCCTTGTCCACCACCTTTAAGCCTTGCCCCTCGCCTTCTTCTTCTCCTTCTAAACTCTAGCGAATATAGCTCCCACTCAAATCAATCTCTCCAGATAGGACAATCTTGCCATCCCTGCTATCAGCTTAGTGAACTTCTGCTTCACTCCTTCTCTGGAAAGGATATCCGTTCCTCAGCAGGGGGACCAAAACTGCACACAATACTCCAGGTGTGGTCTCACCGAGACCCTGTATAACTGCAGTAAGACAACCCTACTTCCAAATTGTAATCCTCTTGCAATGAAGACCAATGTCCCATTTGCCTTCCTAATTACTGGCTGGACCTGCACATGTACTTTTATTGACACTCTGATCCCTTTGTACATCCACACTTCCCAGTGTATCACCATTTCAATCATATATGCTTTCTGTTTCTCCACACCTGAAGTGAAGTGTATCATTTTACATTTCGCCATGTTGTACTGCATCTGCCATGAGCTTGCCCCACTCACTCAATTTGTCTAAATCACCTCCATTGTGCCCTCCTCACAATCCTGCCCAGTTTTGTGTCATGACCAAATCTGGAACTGATGCATTTTGCTCCCGCATCCAGGTCACTAATATATATTGAGAGTGGCTGGGCCCCAAGTGCTGATCCCTGTGATATCCCACGAGTCACTACTTGCCTCTCGGTAAAAAGAGCCATTTATTCACACTCTGGTTGACAGACAGGAAACAATTCTCAATCCACATCAACATAGTATCCTCAATCCCTTGTATTTTGCACTTTGCACAGGAATCTTCTATCAAAAGTCTTCTGAAAAAACAAATATACCACATCGACTGGTTTTCTCTCATCCATCCTTTGACCC